AATGAGCCAAGAGCTTTCAAAAAGTCTTCGCCAACGATCTGCATGTCGGGAGAATGATATGCCACTCCGCCTGTTCGTAACAAGCGCGCAAAATAACCGGCATCCTTCAGGCTTGCCTCGACTCGCGAGATTGATTGGGCGTCTCCGGAAAGAGTCACACCCTGCGGGCTGTTGATGCAGGCAACAGTGACAGTGTTTGCGAAATCTTGGCGTTGCAGGAACTCTCGACAACTCTTCTCAGATAGGCCCACCGCTAGCATTGCTCCTGGTCTCCCAAGGCGGCGGCTGACCTGCGTTGATAACAGCCCGCGATAGTACGCAACACGCATAGCTTCCTCGTGAGACACGGCGCCGGCAGCATATGCGGCTACCATCTCACCGGAAGAATGGCCAATAACTGCTGCAGCTGTGACTCCCCAGTACCAAAGGACATGTACAAGCGCAATTTGCACTGCTGTGCACATAGGTTGCGAGAACTCTGGGTCGCTCATGGTTTCCGCATCGCCATTCTTTATCAAGTCGACCAATTCCCACCTGCATCCCAAACTCGACAAGTACGTTTGGCTGGTTGCAATACTGTCTCTGAAGACGGGACACTCCCTTACAAGATCTTTTGCCATTCCTGGGCGTTGCGCGCCTTGGCCAGTGAACAGAAAGACTAGCCGTCGGCTCCGTGACGACCTGATTTCGAGAGGCTGCGCTTTCTCCTTGTTCACTGACAGAAGCTTAGAGACTAGCTCCTCTTGACTCTTGGCAATGACAAAACTCCGGAATAGATGTGATGTTCGTCGAACGTTCAAGGTGTGCGCGAGTGATTCGAACTGGACAGGCTTCCGTTGACTCAAAAACCCTCCAAGAGATTGAGCAGTGCGCCCAAGACCCTGCCGATCGAACGACGATATCGCGAATAGAAGCTGCCTCCTGTTTTCGGATGTGTCGAGTGACTGATTGATTGAATTTCGAGTGCGATATCCAGCCTTTTTTGTGATGTGTCTTCCCTTGATTCGCATCTCTTCTAAGTACGACCTTGCATCATCCAGTACAAGGTGGGCATTGGCGCCGCCAAAACCAAAGGAGTTGACGCTTGCTCGTCTGAGACCACTGCCGGGCCACGATTTTGTTGCCATCGGAAAGTTGATCCAATGGTTTTCGGCAGCTATCTCGTGATTGATTTGTTGCAGACCCGCGATTGGCGTTATAAGTCCAGCTTCGAGGCAAAGAACGGTTTTAATCAAGCCTGCCAAGCCAGCGCAGCCTTCAGTATGGCCAATGTTCGGCTTCACACTACCAACATCCAACCGCCCCATTCCAGAGGCCCGTCGAGCAGCACCGATGGTTGAAGCTATTGCACGAATCTCGATAGGATCCTACCAGGCGAGCGTTAGTCGAAGGTATCCCTGATTCTTCCGCTCAAATGGGTACCACAATGCATCATTTACATACCCCTTTTGGTGTGCCAGTCCCATGCGCTGGGAGAGTATCAGCAAATGTTCACAAAGCTTACAAGGCCGTTACGGTTATTCTACCTTCGAAATAGGAGGTCTGAGCCATGTCCAGTCCTGATCTCTCGTATACTTCCCTGATCAGGTCGGCTTGGGCTTCTTCGCTTGGGACAGTAATCCCAGGAGTCTTGCCGTCAGAGTTGACTCCCGTGGCCCGAATCACGGCCCGAATGACATCGCCGTCAGCAATTGCAGTGGAAAGCCGCTTGACTACAACACCAGCCATGCCTTCTCCACGTCCATACCCGTTTGCTGAGGAGTCAAATGAGTGGCTGATTCCGTCCGGGCTAACCATGTGCATTGCAGAAAGTTGAGAAAAGAAAGTGGGATTCAAAATAAGATTATGCCCCGTCACTAACGCCTATAGACTTTTAGCGCTGGATCGACATCTGGAGCTATGTTCGTAATGGGGAAAAAAGGAATGTACTCACCTGATGGCATTCTCCCGTTTTAATGGACTGACAAGCCAAGTGCAGCGCATACAGGGTTGACGAGCATGCAGTGTCAATCGTAAGACTAGGTCCGCGTAAATCAAAAAACCACGATATGCGGTTTGATAGCATCGACCGTCCAGTGCCAGCTGCAGAATTGGTGCCCAAGGAATACGGGTCCCCTTCTGCCAACATCTGGTAGTCATTGGTCATCACGCCACTATATACTCCTGTAGTGCTCCGTGCTAACTTTTCCATCGGAATTCCGGCTGTAGAAGTTAGTCACAATGACCAAGCTTATATTTATATGTCATTCTCAGATGGCCTTCACCGGGTATGTATGGCGTGGGTAGCTAACCGTTCTCAAATGCCTCGTAGCTAATCTCAAGACCAAGACGCTGCATTGGATCCATGGATGCGGCTTCATTGGCCGAGATTGAGAAGAATGGAGCATCGAAACTTGAAATGTCTTCAAGAAAATGACCTGAAGTCGTACAGATCTGCGGATTCTTCTAGTGAGCGATCATTACGAACAGTAAATAGGTGTTTTAGGGAGCAAAAGCCATCGCCAGCCTTTCAGGGGGTGTTGGGGCAAAATCACACAATGACTTACCTGCCCCGTCCGCTGCCTAGATGGATGGTACCAGGCTTCTGCATTCCAACTTCTCTCTGGAATCTTTGTCCGTCCTGTACGACCTGACGTGACGAGATCCCAAAGTTTGGAGGGTGATTCGACATTGGAAAAGCGGCACGCCATTCCAACCACTGCGACTGGCTCATCATGAGCTATGCTTGGGGACCATGGAGCCAATGTGTTTTCAGGGAGCGGACTCCGTCCAGCGCTGCTGTTCGTTCCCAGGCCACTGTCGGAGTCAGATCCAACGATTGGTGAAAGACATGCCCAGTTCATGGTGCTCTGCTTCGCAGATAGAGAGATTGTAGAGGCCATGATACCGTCCTGTCAATCTTTGGTGTGCTGTACGATTGTTGGTCTAACGATGTATTCGTTTCTAGCCAGTTCAGCTGTTGGAATGTCAAGAGACTTCACCGTTCCAAAAACGCTATTTTTTTTCTGGAAGAGGCTACATGATTAATTCAGTCGCCCAAGGTTTCCCATAGTTGATGTTCTCGGGGATCGTAACGTGTTTCTGTCCTCCTTGTTTAACGTTATGTTCCGAGAAAATGGGGTATATTTCCCGCGCTGCTCCATATCGGCGAATAAATTCCACGGCACTTACATCTCACAGAAGTGGGGCAGTCAATCTTTCCCACTAAAAGATCTCTGCCGTTAGTTTAATTTATCAGCTTGGAAATCAGCATCGGCCGGACGATCTAGGTTACTAATGGTCGGGGTTTTGTTCCTGGCGCCCTTTTTATCCTAGGATAATTGTTCAGCGGGAAACGAGATGTTCATGTATTGAGGCCAGGTTTCAAATAGCTTTTCTACTTCGGCTTGTCCACGCGTGTGAAGGTTATTTGACTGTAGCAGATACTAAAAAATAGCATACTCAGTAAATAGCACAGCATTTGAGCTTCGATTCTTGATCAGTGAGTTTAGTCACCTTGCCTAAATAACCCTCCCTCGCTCATACTAGCAAGGCGTACTATAATTATGGGTGTATGATGAGGTGAATGATCCGAAGATATAGAAGATACCTGATAAGAGAAAGAAAACCGACGTCTGATGTTCTTTCGTGATACATGCAATTTCTAGACTATAATTCGAATCAAATATCAGACAAACGACGAGATACGCCACATTTGATCGATTGATGGAGCAGGCTCTAGCTTGCATGTATGATAGTCCGCCTTGATTGCAGCCCATGTGACAGGATGCATTTGAAGGATTAATCCTACCTGCATATCGCATGCACGCTTGTTAAACTAATCCTTGTTGGGGTACTGCGGTCACGTCTAGAATTTCAGACATCCAAACTGTCCATCTAAGTGGTTCACTGACGCAAGGCCATTCGAGACTACGGACTACTCTCCTTCGTTTTCACTTTTTATTCTGCGCCTTTCATGGGCAGCACGTACTTTTTCCATTGCTCTGCTCCTAACATCAGATCGGAGTTTTAGACCGCATTGCCCAGATCACAAAGTTCGTCCGGTCATGCCCGATCGCCTGGGAAGCATACGCCGAATGAATCTGGATTCCTCGGTGATTTCGGTACTTTCTTGTGATCCGATTGAACTGATGGTCTTTCCATCACCGAACTCTATTAGTATTATCCGTTACAATATCTTTTGGCACTCTTTTTGCGCGAGGGTTTGAACTTTCGTTCGTACACCCGGCAAGTAGAGGCTGTCTACACAGTCCTAAACAGTCCTAAACAGTGAGGTTCCCGCCGGCTGCCACACGACGCCAGAAACCTCCCATGCGGAGTAGAGCCAATTAAGATACGGGAAGGCGCTAGATACTTTTTTAGCCCATTTTCAAAATTCACTTTCTCTAGATTCGGGTTAATGTTAGGATCATAACCGAGTCGTGTCTTTTGGCGTCATGTGGCAGCCGATGGGATACCGCAGACTCTCGTTCGATTCAAAGAAAGCCCTCCCTGTAAACCCTTCAACACGCTTATCTGACTGGACCAAAAATCAATAGACCGGGATGGAGCAGGGGAGACACCCACAGCTGCATGGACCCTGATCAACACAACCCTTGTTGCGGCTTTGTGCGGATCTAACAAGAGTCTACGAACATGATACGTGCGGTACGAGGGTGGTCGTGGCCGAATGCCGCCTCCGCTGCGGGGTAGCTAGAGGTTGCACACACCGAATGCCTGGCTCAGAATCCACCATCCGGGCGGGGTTCCGCCCTCGCTTCGGTGTCCTCGAGCCTCTCGTGCCGCGCAACGAGGTCACTTCTGGGCCTACCCATCTCGTTCTAAACTGCCCTGATTTGAACCTTCTCATTACTCACATAATGAAAGACCGATGGACAACCAAGTCCCCAGTGCACTTTGACTCCTAAGGGAATCCGTAGTGTTGTGGATATCGTGAAGTCCTGTTCCAAAGTTGCAGTTTAGTTCTTCTTTGATGTGATTCAACTATGGCGTAGGGTATTCTAGCAAGTTTGCCAAAGCTCTAACATGCCAAAGAGAAACTCGATCTTGGAGTAAATATCTCCTGCTAGGCTTCTCACAGCCTTGTCGAGCGGGGATCGGGCATCGTAGTCCGTATCTTTCAGCGTGTTTCTCACGCGGTCCCTGATTCCTTCATGATGAAATACCTCCTCCAAGAGTAGAGAAAGGCGATTGAGTCTGGCCTTCAAGAGTTCTCGAATGCATATTTTCCAGAGCTCTCCCTCCATCTGGAAAGACCCCAGGCTCAACGGAAGTGTATCGTTCAGATCACCATTTCCTCCGAGAGTGCCCTTTACATTCGACCATCCCGACTCACGGTCAGCTCTGGGTTCTTCAATGCCGGATGCTGTCCCATGCTTTCCTGGCAGGACTAGGGACTGGGTGCTTGAAACTGATGCCGGCGTTGAAAGACCAGGTAGACCCGTCTCCAACGTCTCTTTCAGCACATCGACTAGCCAGTCGACGTGGAGACAAAGCGTAAGCAATGCCCTCGGTGCGTTTCCACACACCCCGCATGAACGAACTGTTACAACTGTCTGGTATACGGCGTCGTCAAGAAAGACTAGTAAGTCGAGTGGCAATTGCCGAAGACGATTGTGACCGTAACGACGGTGTCCAGCCTGTCTTTGGGGAGACAATCGCGGGTGTATGGCCAGAAGTTGGAGCCTGCCGATGAGCGTTGGGCAAGAACAATTCCTATCTGGTCCAGATGGACGAGATAATGCTGGCGCAATAGAGCCAATGACCCGCTGCAGCTTGGATGTGCCTGACATAATCTGGTTCCATATGTTCTCAAGGTCACCAATGTCTGAGGTTTCCGGCATCATGTCGCCCTTCCATATCCCTTGCTGTGTTGAAGGTGATTGTGACTGAGGTGCGATACATCCATTACTGGACATGAAATCGATGTCGATGTCGAAGTCGGGGTCCATCATGTCGTCAAATCCGAGGTCCATCATCTTCAAGTCTTCATCTTGGAAACGGGTCGTACCTGCCGGTGCAGAGCTTGGCGTTATCACTTGAAGATCAAAAGCATCAAAGTCCAGGCCTTGGTCTTGTGTGTAATCGCCAGTTGTTCCCGTCGGCTTAGTATTTTGAAAGTTACCACTTATTGAAGTCATAGCTGCCACGGAATCGTCCGATACTGGTGTCAGGAGATGTTGGATCCCGCTTGGAGAATCTTCATCACCGTGGGACGAAAGCCATGGATCTAGAAATAGGGTTGTCTGTACCGATATACAGTCGTTTTCGTTACTTTCATGTGTTGATTCCTGGGATCGGATGTCGTCTGAGCACATGGTCTTGAGATTGTCTTTCGGCCGCCCCTTAGAATGACCAGAAGGCTTTTGGTTCATACTCGTAAGGTCTTTTGTGGTTGAAAATTCATTGATCGTGGCACGGCGGTGACTCCTACTTGCTTTGTTTCTTGCGGTGCAATGAGATTGGGCTTGGCTCGGCTGGGAGGCCGGTAGCCGGGGCGGCCGTCCCACACGTCCTATGCGACTGTAGACACAGGACTCGTCCCGGTCGGAACACCGCCCGCAGGATGGCTTGCCTCCGTCGCATCTAAGCTTGGATCGAGTACAAGAGTCGCACGAGGCTCTGAACCTTGGCAGTCTTTCGCTGCAGGTGCTGCTGTCCGCGTCTCGATTGTTGCCCTTGCAACTATTGAGCGTTGTCTCTGGTTGTTGTTCCATGAGTAGTTTTGAATGCCTGGCGTGAGCAACAACTCAGGATGTGTTGGAGTACTCCTGTCTGTCGGCCTTATTTTCCAGCAGTTTCAGCAGCTCTTATGAGAACATCCTCCAGGCCGGAACACAACCACAAAAGTATCGAAAATGCCGATGCCGAAGAGGGATGACAGGTTATACAAGAACAGGGGGGCGAAACCGCAACCAGTAACTCTACTTTTGGTGGTTCGCTCGTCGAATCGGCCGCCAATCCAGCAGCCCTGGCGTAGGTGCAGTCGATGAAAAGTTGCCGTCTAGACTTCCTTGAGGCTGCATGGCAGGTAGCAGCTGGGGAAACATTTAGATTAGAGCTTGCATTTCCGCGACTAATGCGTTGCGTTGAGAATGGCGTTGTCTTCAATATATGGGCTTTGTCAAAACCCTATTGTTCTATCCGAGGCAATTTCTCCGCCACGCGTCGACCTCCTCTTAAGCTTTGGCGCAATCTCTCCTGGCGAGACACCGACTGAACGCTTGCTGTAACTTTATGGAGAATGGGGGGAAACGGTGAATTCATGACTCGCCCTACCGCTTCCTTCATGATGAAACCCCTTTTCCGAAGTCCCAAGGATCGATTTCTTCATTTGGTTAGATTCCTTCCCAAGGCCATTTAGCATCCTGCATATCTTTGTTCGCTGCTCCGCAACTCTTCAGACTGGTTTAGTTGGCAAGTCTCTGGCAGGACATTCACATCAAGTGGCCAATATGGGTACGAAAGACTCCAGTTGCTCTTGTCGTTTTGATCAGACCATGGGCGCCTTAGATATCGCATTCTACCGACCCCGGAACGAGGGCTTTCTCACCCTTGAACAAATAATCAGTTTGGACTGGAATATCTCACGTCTCATACAAAAAACGGGCGACTGCTCGCGCTGCTACGACGACTTGACTGTAATGGCCACAATACACTCGACTTTGGAAACGATCCTGCTACTTTTGGAGGCAGCCCAAACAGCCTATGCACATCGTGCAGATCGAGAGGGGAAACAGACGCCCCCTGAGATCATGAACGAACTACTGGATAGAAGATCGGATGGCAGAATCAAGGATGCTAGGAGTTCGAAATTTGTTCTCGGACGCGTTGCCCTAGGCGAAGACGATAGCAATATGATAGCGCGTCGCCTGGTCACGACCGCAATTTCGCGCAAAGCCGCGGTAATTCGAGATCTGAGAGAGAGAATCAACAACTGTACAGGCGACCCGAGAGAATCGTCGCAGTCGGATGGTCGAGATTACACGCTGTCTCGACAGGCAAGGGACATGTATGATGACCTTGACGGTAAGATGGCTTCGACCTCTGCTCGAGTTTGCTCTGCCGTCGCCAGAGCTAGCATGTATCAGTAGAACCAAGGCAACAAAAGCGATACTGCACATTCAAAGACACAGTTGAAACATCATATCAAAAAGAACAAGTGGTAGCCTGTTGTATTGCGCTAGGTCAAGATTCACAGCACTCGAGTTCCGCGTTGAGGACCTTCTGGAAGCCGACAACATGCTCTTTAGACAACGCTGTATAGTGCCCGCCAGAAATGAAGTGGAAAGCCGCTCGATGACTCAGATCTTCCCAGCCCTGGATTCTCATCTGCCATTCTTCTTGGGATATGCCCCATTCAGGCAGCGGACAGGCCCAAAATGAGGTGTAAGATTCAATTTTGCCTTCCGGGGAATATCCATCTGCCATGTGAGCCGTGCCAGAGAACACACGGTACCATGCCTCAAGTCTCCCACGCGTTATGCCCGCAGTCTGAAGTCGGGTTCGAAACCGGCGCATGATGAATTTGGGGAACGTTGCAGGGTCGGCATGATGAAGTTCCTGCTTCAAACTGGTTTGTTCGGCAGAAGTGATCAGACGCCGTGTAGCGAGTAAGTCGATGATGAAAAATCGGAGTGCGGCAAAGCTCATTTGGGTGATGTACGGCGCGTTGTCGATGCCTCCAGTGAATTTCACAATTTCTCCCTGGTGTTCGAGCTCCTTGGCTACCTCATACGCCACATTGCCTCCAAAACACATTCCTAATAGTGCATATGGTCCTCGGGGTTTTACTCGGCGTATTTCCAGCACGTAGGATCTAACCATTTCGCCAATGCTCTCGAATGCCGTTTCGCCCGGTTGAAGCCCACGAAGCCGAAGGCCATAGATGGGCCGGTTGGGCAAATAGCGGATCAGCTCAATCCAGCAATTCAATTCGCCCCCTCCAGGCGGGAAGAGGAATAGCGGCGTCTTTGAGCCCTCTGTGGCGAACGGTAGTAATAGCCCGTGGTTGCTTCGCATCGATGTTTTCATGATTTCGATCTCGACAGCACGCACCGTCTTAGCTGATATCAGTGCGGTTACTGGTATTGGCGATGGCAAAGACAATCGTTTCTCCAAGGCTGTCTTGAAAATAAGCAGGCCCGCGCTGTCTAGCCCACTATTGGTAAGGACCTCTGCAAGATCTGTGTCTGGCAAAATTTTCGCTTCAGGTATAAAGGAGCCAGCTTCCCTTAAGGAGTCGATGATGGCATGTTGCGTCTTGTTGATTTTGACCGAAATATGTTCGCCAGCACTGGTATCCGTGCGTCCCTCGTTCGTGCGTTTCCATTGGGCAAGGCTGTTCGACGGTTCTATTTCAACTCCGCGACATGTCATGATAAACTGTAGATTCTGGACGTGACTTTGGAAGTTCCTAGGCGACAATTTCCAATGCAAGACTTTGTGTGGAAGCAGCGAGCGAGCTTCCAATAAGACTTGTGATGAAATCTGCTGTCGGTCACATTTTAAGTCGAGTTTGATGAGCAAAGTAAGACAGCCTTCGCGTTGACCGTGCACACGGTTTGGTGACTTTCGGATGGTTTCTCCTTCCCATATGTACACCGGGTCGTTTTTTCGTGTTTGGCTGCAGGACAAAAACCGTTGGCTTCGAAAAGGTAAGTGTGATACATCATCCTGGCCCAGTCTCAACGTCTCAAACTCGTGATTGGTCTTTTCCCTCGATGAGGAATACACCCATCGTATTCATTTCCACGATTTGCTATTCCCAAGAACATTCGCCCAAGACTTTAACGTTTTGACGGCAATGACCTCTCGCCCTAATTCGGCTGTAAGCTTCGTGGTCTCTCACGACTCTGGGGACCCTTTCATTGACGTTGATGGATGTTTCGTGCAATGACTGCAATTCTAGGAGTTTCGGTCTGTGTCATGGTCGGATGTAGAGGCGATATCAACCATCAAAGCTGGGCCTTCGATTATTCAAGAGTTTTGCTCGAGACCTGGCAGCGACGACTCCTTACAAAGTGCAGCATTCCATTTCATCACAATATAACCGACTAGAAGTCAACACAGCAGCCATTCTTAGTGAAGTCTGGTTAGGTCTTTTATTCAACGATGCATGATACATGAAACACATTGTCGGGGGCAACACACCCAATCACTAACAGCTTTGCAACTGCAGTTACATTGATCACAAAATTTCTAAGGCCCGTCACTCTCTCCAGTAGCTTTTCCCTTCCACCGAGGGGGCTGGGTTGCAATTCCAAGACATGCCGTTAATATTGAACCCAGCATACTGTACAGTCCAGCAACATTTGACCCCTTAGGAGGATCATTCAGATTGCAGAGCGCGGAGGCAAATGAGGCGGAAAAGGTTAGTGGGTGTATGACTATGAGGGGCAATTAGTTTGTCGTGAAAGCCATCGTACTGATTATTGATGCCCTGCCCACAGATCAGGTCAAAAGAGCCTTGGCCTCAGAATTCACGCTTGCTCCGGTCGCCAAATTGTGTGCTATCTACTCAAAACAGTGCTTGCGGAGATCACCGACAACCTCGCTTCGACCTGAAGCTTTCTGATCCGAGTAACCATTTGGCTTCTAGAGGTTTCCTCCTTAGAAGCCAGTAATTCGGCAATCCCAACGCAGAAGTCGTATTTCGTTGAGGTACGCCAGTGGTTACATGAGAAATTCACAAGAAGATTACCGGTGAATGAACCACAGATCTGCAGCAAGGGGCCACTGTGAATGATATTCACGTGGCCCCTTTGCTCACTATCCGACTCTTCAGCCAAATTTCCAAGGGCAGACTGCTCATATGCTCCAGCTAGTGCAGTCGAATCCCGAATCCCGAAGACCTATGGTAGTCGGGTAATTAAGAAAAAGCCTTGGTAATCTATCTCACTGCAAAGAAATGTTCCGAGGGCCCGCAGGCAAGGGTAACGGCACAACCTTAAACTCAATACCGCTGATGCGCGTAAGGGTAGTAGTTCTAGCTTTCACTGACGCCTCTTCGTAGCGTCTGATCGCCAAAGGTTACTAATACAGGACATGACCAGTAACAGAGAGAAGATTAACCAAAGACGAGATGCGGGTGACATCAAAACAGTCATGGATATGTGTCACAGAGCCAGCGATGGAGATAAAGCCTCAGTCCGGGGTTCGGTTGTCATCATGTTGCTTACTACTAGCCTCTGCTTGGTGTTGTTCCTCTGCTTGGTCATCCTTGGTTCGTAATCAATATTTCAAAGCAAGTATGAAATCACTTGGCCAATGAACTATCATTAGGTTATCCCGCGTATTATGGATGATTTTTACTCGCTGGACGACGCTTGGTAGTACCGGAGCTCGTATCCGGCCGTTCCAATTGCGTTACAACGCCTTTGGGCAAAGTCCATGCCTTATTCAGCGTCAAATGGACATACCTTACTGGTCTCATCATCTTTCAGGTCAGTTCGCTAGTTTATGTATTACCCCCTAGCTCGATAGCAACTATTGCCGATCGTACTGCTGTGGCTGTTGGAGGGGCTGCGTTGTACTATAGGGCAATTAGTATCTTGGAGCTGGCCGCTCCGACAAAGCTACGTCCCGTCTTGATTTTCATCATCTCAAGCAAGTATACTTGGCATGGCATCATTGGTGGGACCTCCTTTAGGTGGCGTGTTGACAGACTCAGCGAGATTAACTTGGAGAATGATTTTCTGGGTCATTGTGCCCCTTAGACCAGTTGCGTTCTGCGTCGTATTAGCTGCTCTTAGGGGATCACCTCGAGAGGCAGAAGTCCGAGGCACCAAGCTCGGCGTCCGCAGGCATGTTGAGATTGCAAATCATTAAACGGAAGGCAACGATGATGGATCCGCTGGGCGCTGCCCTCCTGATACCATACCTGCTATCGTGAGTTTGCTGCTTGCTCTTCAGTGGTGATGAGATCAGATATTCAAGGACGTCGGGGGGTTTTGGTCGTATTTTGCGTTTTTGACTGCTGCTCTCGTTCTTGTGCAGACAGTGCAGGTCGGTGCTACGATGTTTCCGCGGTCATTAAACAACGTGCCGTTCATGGGAGATGACTTCAGATGATATTCCCATTGGCGGCAATCTTCACGCGCATCTTTTACCTGACATTCTACTTCTAGACTGTCCCAGGCACGAGTATGACAGGTTCGGGGTTACGCACTCTCGAGTCCTCGACGTGGGGGCCGTCGCTTTGAGCGACATTGCAGTGGGGTCCGGGATGACTCGCAGTGGCACTCACAAGCTATGCTCATAGACCAACACAGCCATCTCTGTTGCCAGCGCAAGACTCCCCTACACTCTACAGCCCAAAATCAACATGGGGACATACCTGGGCTAGGCATTCGCTCTCAGCTAGCATCGACATTGGGTTTGCTTGGTAAGTCCCGTTCGTTGCAAAGCAACGAGACTATTGCAAATGCGCTGATGGCTTTCTCCAACTCTCTGCGCCCAGAATGTCTTTGCGATTACGCTCCATCGGCAACTCATTGTTATTCCCGGTCTGCAGCCACAGCAAGTGAGTATTATAGTTGGGAACACGGTAGACGCGGCAGGATTGAGGAACACGAGTTCCTCACCCCAGACCTCTTGCGACCAGCGTTGCGTGCATTCAAGAATGCTATCACGTCGACTTTCATCGTAGCGACAGGTGCTGGTGGAAAGGCATTTCCCTCCGTTTTCAACCTTGATTGAATGTAGCCAATGGTAGGATAAGACCTGTCGAGATGCTGACGCCGGAGCATCAATAGAAATCGGCGTGGGCGCCTCTGGAGTCTGGCACTCTGACGGGTCCAGGGGCGGGTGCCTCTGAGAACACTGCCTCCTTCCACCAGGATCGCACTCGGGGACTGCGTTGAGTAGGATCGGAATGCATGCAGTCATATCCCTTGACCAAAGTTCCTTCACTGGTGGTTTTCGATGTCGCATCCGTCGTGCTTGCGCGTGCCCGTGCGGTACCATGGCGTTTGACAGGATGCGACCTCGCATAGCATACAGAGCCTAAGCTTTTTTGTAGTTTATTAGACTTTCCGCCAGCGCCCAAGCTTCGCGGGCCGCTGCGGGACACACTGAGTGCGGACTTCATCGATGTAGCAGCTTCCAGGCGGCCATTGTACCATCGTACAGCGTGCGTTCCTGATGGACTCGGGGTATCTTGTAAACCGGCGGCATGAATGGAGAAAATTGAGAGACATAACAACCCGCGGGAGCAGTCCGAAAATAGAGCTCTCCGAAGTTACCGAGGCTTTTATCATGCTGATGATTACTTTCGAAAATGGTGCCATTGGCCAGAAAAAAACTTGGAAAGGGGTCTTTGGCAGCCCCGCTACCACCAGGCGATCGGGACAGCCCCTGATTCGACATGTTCCCCATCATAAGGTTCCTTGCAGATGCGATCCAGGGGTGGAGGTGCAATTTTATATCACGTATCGTCGCCCTGCATCTGTCACTACACACGGCTCTGGATACTAATGGGGAATCGCTCACATTTGGTCACCTTGACCGGCAACTCCGCGAGCTGACAGCCTCAGTGGGGCATTTCTAGAACGGGCAGCGGCTCTGATCGACCACTGGGCTTTATCTACCCCACGATGTCCTGCCAGCTGCTGCCATGGAAGACCCTTCTAACCATCGTTGCATCAAGCCCAGTCCTTCGTTCTCGGTTCCGGCCTGCTCGTTCTGTCTTTGCCAATCGCTATCTTCAAGTTCAAGATGATGTTGAAGTCCGCCCTCATCCTCTCCGCTGCTCTCGCGGTCGATGCTTTCGCCGTGATTCGTCGTGGAGCAAATGACTGGGCTCCTCCCACGTCCGATGACCGTAAGTAGACTCAGTGGAGATAGACAGCTCCAGGAGGAAACACTCATTAACATTCTTTTGACAGGCCGAAGCCCATGCCCGATGGTCAACACTCTTGCCAACCATGGCTACCTCCCTCGCAACGGATTGAACGTCTCCCTGGCCGACCTCATTACTGGCTTTACAGCAGCTGTGAACCTGGATCCTGCTGCAACCACTCTCGTTGGACAGAAAGCACTTCTTACGTCTACGACCGGGAACAACGCCACTTTCAATCTGGACGATCTTGATAAACATGGAGGTAAGTCTATCTGAGGACTGGGACTTAATCCATGCACTTGCTAATGATTACTCACCCAGTCATTGAGCATGATGGCAGTCTTAGCCGCAACGATATTTATTTCGGTGACAACCACAGCTTCAACGAGGAAATCTGGGAGACCGTTGCCTCCCACTTTGTCAACGAGACCATCTCTATCCCTACCGCCGCCAAGGCTAGAGCTGCCCGCCTTCAGGCCGCGGCCGCCGCCAATCCTGAGTTCAGTCTGACCGCGGATGGTGTTCAGTTCAGTTTCATTGAGACTGCCCTTTACCTCTCCATCTTTGGCAACTTGGACGACGGCAACGCCAAGACTGAATGGGTCAAGATTCTATTCCGTAAGTTTAATGTCATAATATCTTGGGCAATCAAAGCTGATGTTCTATTCCAGAGGAAGAGCGCCTGCCATTCGCCGAGGGCTTCACTAGATCTAACACTTCCGTCACGGCTGCTGGAATTCTTGGACTTGTCAGCAAGGTCGCTGCTGCCAGTGTATGATCGAGGAAACCCATGAGTGACTTATAATCAGTGATAATCAGAAAACTTGAGAGAATTTCATCATCATCAGTATGTTCTTTACTTACATAGACACGTGATCACTGCAAACTGATTCGCTTTACGTATTGTTCGATTCCACGTATGTCCCCTGATATCTACAGGCAGATTGATTCGCATAATCTCTTTTTCCATAATGACGGGACAGGAAATCTTGTCGCGTCGCATACCAGACCACATGATGATTAATCGGGGATGTTCCCGGCATATGACAATTATCGATTTTCGATGCGAAGTTAACTACGAACTGTTTGCACGTGCACTGCACACCTCATTTTTCTATGCATGACCTACAGAAGCTCCCTGGGCTCAACCGAGAAAGTCAAATATGTGAGCGTCACTCGTGATCGTCGATGTAGCCTAGAAGATTCTGTCAGCAGCATAGCAACCTGATCCCTGAGCGACCCGCTCAATCTTATGCTCGAAAATATCGTCATTCTCCCGAGGTCCAAATTCAGCCAAGAAATGTAGCACAAGCCATACATTCTTGTTTGTTATGCCCCATGAAACAGACGAACATGTGAAATATCTCGTGCATTGGCGCGAAAGTGAAAATCAGGTTGAGAGATTGGCACTATATCCCCCGTTAGGAATCATTCTGTGTTGTCTTCTGGCCATTGTCTCCACATCGCGATAACACGGCTGCTTTAGATGTTGATTGTTGCGATGTCCTGCGCTACCCACGGATCAAGACGCCACGCGTAGATCTTCCTTACAAATTATCTTGCTCTATAAGAGTGCAGATCATCTTGAAAACACATTGTCATCTGATATTTACTGGCGCGGCTATGCGAGTGCGAATGCCTCGGTCGAATGAAACAGTCGCCGGCACAGCCAGGGTCCAGGGAGAACAACGAAGACCCTGGCAGCAATCCCCAAAACACTCGGATGATGGCGCGTGAGGGGCAGGCGATAGAAAATCCATCTAGCAACCTGACGTATTGTCCGAGCTTAACAGCCAGTCTTAATGAAACACGTGAACGAGATAGAGCCGAGGGCGGCAATCAGACGAAACTATTAAATGAACCAGCCATCGTCCACAAATACAATCATGAGTGGACAATCAGCCGCAAAATTTTTGTCTTGTGTTCATAACCGCAAAGAACTCCTCGAATTGCCTCATATTTGCAGAAACAATGAGCGAGAGTAAAGATCCTATGAAATCGACATGGCGCCTTCGCGATAGACGTCTATGGAAAGCTCATCATTGGATCATTGAACGACTCGGCCTACATCACGTGGACCTCGACAGGAAGGTTCCCATCCACGAGAAGGGCGATCCAGTTCCATACGTTCCGCACTGGCAGTTCCATCGGTGGATTATCGTACACGCCTGTGCACCGCTCATCCTTCATCAACTCTTTGTGTCCTACACGGGTTATAATTTGCATCCTGTGGCGGCCTTCATCTTCTACAGTGCTTTCATCAAGCTCATCGCTATTCACCAAATCAATATTATGCGCGACCTCGGCCATATCCATGGATTTCTAGATGGCGACAAGCACGAGCGCGACAGTGTACCGGACAGGAGCGTGAGGAAGGTCTTACGATCATTAATTTCGACATCGACATTTCGGTCCATGATGGCCGTTATCCTTGCGTACCGGAGCTATGAGGCCCCAAACACCATCAACTGGAAAATGGTACCCCTCGAGGTCGGTCTGTATGGGATTATCCTCGACTTTTGGTTCTACTGGTACCATCGACTTATGCATGAGGTCGACTCTCTATGGCAATACCACCGAACACATCATTTGACGAAGCACCCAAATCCTCTGTTGGCCCTGTTTGCAGATTCCGAGCAAGAATTTTGGGACATCGCCGGCATACCGCTGCTCACGTATGCGACTCTCAAGCTATTTGGCTTCCCCATGGGGTTCTATGAGTGGTGGCTGTGTCAGGAATACGTCATTTTCACCGAATTGAGTGGACACAGTGGTCTACGTATATACGCGACAACTCCGTCGCCTTTTGCTTGGCTTCTCAGATGGTTTAATTGTGATCTGTTACTAGAAGATCACGACCTCCATCACAGGAAGGGCTGGAAAAAGAGCGGCAACTATGGCAAGCACACGAGGTTATGGGACCGAGTGTTCGGAACTTGTATGGATCGCATCGAATGCCCCGATGAGACGATCGACTTTGACAACACGGTAGTTTTTCCACTTATTTGACAGACGGGCCTAAACACTGAGTCAGGTATTGCGCGGGAACTGGCGAACATGGGCTGGGTTGAATTGAGGTAGCTAGAACAAACCGTACGTTGACGATTGCGGAGAAATAAATGAAATTGAGTTCACTGATTTCAAGGTGGTCGAGACGTGACTACTACAATTTCAGCACACAGAGTCCAAAAGTCCTTCCTCATGAGCTTTTTACTCTCCAAGCGCGTAGGTTATGATTAGGAGGGTCATTCTACATGATCCAAGCATGTCAATAAACCCCTGCAGTGTTTTAGTAGTACGGATAGATGTCCAGCACCTGCAATGGCCCTGAAATTAGGGCTGGATACTGCTCTGACAGGGTTGTGCACAGAAAGGATCTTCAGCAGGGGTCCGTCCCAATGGACACCTGTTCATGCACAATAACATCCCGATGCTGTCAGCGAAACCATCAACTATTCGCCACATGACCGACTTTCGAGACGATAACCTCTGCTACATGAGCACTCGATGCCGGGCCCTCGGTAAAGAGAAGAAAACTGTCGGTTGAATCTCCGAGTCGTTGCCCAGACCAGACGGCTGCTAAATTGCCGTCGGTGCCACTCCGCCGGCAAGATGGTGCCGGTCTTGCGCAACAGGCGTTGAGACGCGGCCGGGAGCAGGGGCCTGGGTAAAAATTTTAGTGCCGGATGCCACATCCCAATTGGCCTCAGCGCTTGGCGTCGCACAAAGGTGAGGACTCAAAAGACGTTGGACAAGGATCGGCGACATCCAAGCTGACGACATTTGGACAATGGAGTCATGCCATTGGCAAAACAAAACGCCATCCAAGTGGCCTCATCCACGTGACCGCCCGTACAGGCAAAGAGTGGGCGAGTGCGTTTCGTTTGTTCCTTGCGCTGACCTCCGAGTCCTCCGACCTTCGCTATCATATCTCCGAGCCAACATTCCGACCCTGGACTTCAATTTTGAGCCTCCATCGACTTATAAGTGCCGGTATGCTGCGCGAAGGTTTGGCATTACAGAGACAGCATTCATTACAATTCAGCTAGACGAAACTCAAAGCCATCATGTCGTCTGAAACGTCGTCTTGGCTGTCAAAGCTTGCTGCTGAGAGTGGTTTTACCGCCATTGCTCAATCATGCCGCGACACCAAGGTGCTCTGCTTACAACGCTTCGTGCGCCTCTTTGCCTACGGCGCCTCGTTTCTCATCCTTGTCCATTTTCTTTCCAGTCTTGGTTTCTCAGATGAGAGAATCGGTCTGTTCATGACCTTGACTCTTCTTGGAGATGTTGTCATCAGCTTTTTTCTCACAACCATTACCGACCAAGTCGGCAGGCGCAAGATCTTGGCTGCAGGGGCCGCATTGATGGTTATGAGTGGCTTCGTGTTCGCGTACTTTGGCAACTATTGGGTCCTCGTTGTTGCAAGCATCGTCGGCGTTATTAGTCCCAGTGGGAACGAGATTGGACCATTCCGTGCTGTCGAGGAGTCCATTCTGGCCCAGCTCACTCAAAGGGAGCATCGCAGCGATATCTTCGCGTGGTACACCCTCTTCGGAACTGCAGGTGCTGCTTTGGGAACCCTCACTTGTGGCTGGGTTGTTCAGATCCTCGAAGACAATGACTCGTGGACAACAAACGAGGCATACCGAGTTGTTTTCTTGATCTATGCGGCTCTGGGCCTCATTAAGTTGATGCTCATTTTGGGGCTCAGCTCCGCTGTTGAGGTCCGCTCAACGAGCTCAAAACCTGCCAACGACGAGACTCGATCACTTCTATCCGACAACTCAAGCAACGGGGAAGACGAGAGCAGACCAAGCTCGCCCTCGCCTACGATTATCCAACGTTTGCGGTCTCTATTTCCACATATCTCTCCGCTCTCGCAAACGATCCTCTTCCGGCTACTCATTCTCTTCTGTCTTGACTCGTTCGCCTCCGGAATGGCATCGCCGTCATGGCTCACCTACTTTTTTACTTCGGTTCACTCGCTGCAGCCAGGATCATTGGGCACACTCTTCTTAGTGACGAACCTTCTCGCCACTATCTCCAACCTTGTCGCCCTCCCCCTTGCGCGACGACTCGGGCCCCTCAAGACGATGGTGTTTACGCACTTGCCATCGGCCGTGTTTCTGTCCATGATCCCTATTCCTGGGCCCGGCCCTTCTGGTACTTGGATTGCCATGGCATTCCTGTCACTAAGAGCCTGCACCCAGAGCATGGATCAGGCCCCTCGACAGGCATTCTTGGCCGCTGCAGTCCTTCCCAACGAAAGGACCGCTGTTCTAGGCGTGGTCAACATCGTCAAGACTCTAGCACAAGCTGGAGGAATCGGCGCCGCCGGCGTCTTGTCTGGCAAGAATCTTTGGATTGTTGTTCTTACGGGAGCGGGAATTATGAAGGCTTGCTACGACTTGTTGATGCTCGGAATGTTCCTTGGGCTGAGGGACCGAGAAGAAAGTACCGGAAAATCTAGAACCAGGGACGAGGAAGAATCTTAACGTCATCTTAACACGGAAAATGCTTCAGACTCAGTAGAATTCGTGGGCTGTTCACCTTACTTATAATCAATAGATTGCATATCAAACTGTGTTTATTACGTTTCCCGTGTAAAAATATACGCGTTACTATCACTCGACCCTCCTGACTCCTTCCTTGCGCACAATGGCCTCCAGCTTTGGCAGCTCAAACTTCTTGTACGCAAGTTCATCCAAGAGCCATTCACCAAACAGCAATCTCGCCAACCAAACTGATCCTGCCATACCACCAGCCCAGAACCAGTTCCTGGCACCGCCAAGCCAGCCTCCGAGCCAGCCTTCCCCCTTCAACGCTTCCGCCACCAGCTGACTCGCAAAGTCCTCTGTGCTGACAGTAGCATTGTTCTGGGAGAATTTCAGACGCTTTGCGTACAAGTCTTTGACACGGGTATACAAAGAGTTAGGCGGGAGCTCGCGGTTAAGCTTTGCGATATCGCTTTTGACAGTACCGGTCATGGATACCATCACCCGAACACCGAAAGGGCGCAATTCCTGGCGAAGTGTGCGGCTGTATGAATTCAACGCCCCCTTGGTTGCAGTATAGACTGAGCCAAAGACATATGGCGAGACTGATGAGAGGGAGCTGATCATAATGATGAGACCTCGTGATGGGATCATGAGAGGTACGAATGCCTGGACCATAGCCATGACACCGAACACGTTCGTCTCAAATGTCTGGCGCACCTCGTCCATATTGATGTCTGTAGCTGGGACGGTGTGGGTGAGGCCCCTATGCAAGAATCCGTCAGATAATTATGTAGCAACGCTTGGCAACTTTGTTCGCGCGCATCTGTCATTTGGCTTGGGAAAATTGCACTTCTGGGGTGGGATAGCCTCACGCGTTGTTTACGAGGAAATCGAGGCGTCCGCCCGTCAATTCCGTCACCTTTTGCTTGCACTCGGCAATGCTCTCGGCCTTGGTGACATCGAGAGCAATCGTCGTCATGCCTTGGTCCCCGAGGTCCTGGAGGACTTCTGGGCGCCGGGCGGTTGCGATGACATGGAGTCCTGAAGACGAAGTTGCGCGTGAGCATTCATCAGTCCACCAATTGATGAGGTACTTTGAGTGTTGGTGTAACACCAGACTGCCCACCTTTGGCGTGGAACTCCCTGGCCAGCGCGTGGCCAATTCCTCCCGGGGTGCAGCTACGGCAAAAAGCTTGTCAGCACTAGAGCCCTCCTTCGGCGACCCTTCTAGCTAGTCAGGCATGTCATTGGCGGCGGGCAGCGGTGGCGTACCCGGTAATAAGGACCGTTTTCTTGTTGGCTGGGATGCCCATCTCTTCTGTTGGGCGGTCTGTTTCTGGGTGTTTGGTTGATGATAGGAGAAGCTTAGGGCAACAAGGGCGATTGTGTTGAAGACAAAACTCAAGAGGGACGACGATCACAGACCGTCTGGCCCAAAGATCCCGAGGCACACAATGATGGGGCTTTTTGAAGACAAACATGCATGTGGGCCGACGGCGCCCGCGCACGCGTCCGCGGATTTCCGCCCGAAACCATGGAAATATTTGCAGGTAGCTTAGTCATCGCAGATTGTTTGTTTCTTCTTCATCCAAACCACCTGTCGTCAAAGCCTGTCCACTTGCCGTGGTAGGTGGCTCGTGCTGGGCAGGAAAACTCCGCCGTAGTAGCTAAACAGATTCATGAAAGCTCTTTGCAGTGTCGGGTGTGTGTACGGCTGAAACTCAAGCGGAATCCAGAAGGTACATTTCGGCCGAGTACGGAGACATCAGCTGGAGCCCCTTGATCACGGGAGGCTGACCAGGGTGCTTGCTCTGCCATCTATCCTGGGAAGACCATCGGCCAAACAACTCAATTTTATTCCTGCAGTTTTCGGGAAATCCGAAGGTGTTTAGTCAAGAAACTCCAAATGGCGGGGGAGAAATTACTTGTCGGTCACGGGAAGCGTCGGCTCCGGGCCAAGCCTGTGCTGCAGGCTCTGGTGATGTGCTTCCTTGGCAGGATGGCCAATATCCATACGCGGTAAGATTAAACGCGTATTTCCTGTGGATACGACTCATCCAGGGACATTGCCGTATCGTTGAAGCGGTATTTTCAAACCGTCTGTCAGCTGGTTGCATCCCCCCGCACACTCAAATGCGGAGAAGCTGGGTCATGAAGCCCTGGCATCGGGCTCTCCCCAACTACCGGCAACCGAGTTTGCGGGGTTGCCAGGTACTCAAAGACTTCTCCGCGTTCCCTGTTTGTTTTGGCAGTTCATCCCATTGACTTCCTCGTTTTAGCTTCCCGGGAGTGCTGTCCTTCACTGGTTTTAAACATTACACTTCCGATGAAGCTATGTACTCAAGCCGTGAACATTCAAAAGTTACGAAATGGTCCCTGTGAGAGGAGAAGCAAGCAAACGCGATGCTTAAAAAGCCTTGTCTCAATATAAAATGTCGATGGATCACGCAGACGTCGTCCCACCGGCACTGGTACCCTGGGCCCGGAAATTCCGACCAAACTTGCTGC